TTGCTCTGAGTCAGAACAAACCAGTGACTCAACAGCATCTTAACAATAACCACCAGGCTGCGAGCCTCAGGGTCAGCGGTTCGAAACCACCAGCTGTTCCGCAGGAGAAAGATGAGGCTTTCTGCTCCCATAAAGATTTACAGCCTCAGAAACCCTGTACCCGGTCGCTATGAGTCAGAATTGACTCCACGGCACATAACAACAATATATTTATGTTTGAAAATGGGGTCTTTTCGTCTCTTCCACAATGCATAATCTGAACTATGTAAAAATGCAAAGAAAAATGGCAGGGAAGAAATAAACCAAAATGGTAACAGTGATTGCTTCAGGTGGTGGGTTAATGAGTGACTTTGTTTTTTCATTTTTCCCCCCCTCTCTCTGGTACAGAGAGAGCTTGTGTTTTATTCTATGTACTTTAAAAAAATGATTATGTAAAATATTTCTATATAATCAGAAAAATATACAGTTTGATTTTTAATCATGTGGAAACAACGTATCACATAAACTACCACCATGGCCAGAAACGGGAGTATTTGGTTTAAAAATTAAAGTGTCATATATACATTGGCTTTTGTCTTGGCTAACCACTTGCTTGCCAAGTCAATGCCAAGTCCATGTGTGTCAGAGCAGGGTTTTCTTTTTAGATTTTATTTGGTTGTTGAGAATACATACAGAATAACACATTCTGATTCAGCAGTTCCTACTTGAACAATTCAGTGACTGTATTCTTTGAGTGGTGCAACCCTCTTCTCTAAATGGTTTCTTCTCCATTAACATAACTCACTGCTCCCAAAGTTTCTTACCTAATCTTTTGAGTTGCTGTTGCTTTGATCTCCTAGGTATTTCTTAAAAGAGCATAATGCTCAAAGCAGACATTCTTTACTCTTTAAGCTAAATTATTGTTTGATTTTGAGACAACTTCAGGAGCTATTTATAGTTTAAAGTTTAAAGTTGATCTCAAGGCAATAGTTTTAGGGATTCACCTCACAGCACTTCCCCCCCCCCCCATATGGTTCCAGAAAGTCTGGAGTTCATGAGAATTAGAAATTCTGTTCTGCATTTCGACCCTTTTGGGGATTCTTCTATGGAATCTTTGATCAAAATGTTCAATTATGGTAGCCTTGTACCATCCAGTTCTTCTGGTCTCATGTCAAAGGAGACAATTGTCCATGGGGGGTTTTCTGCTCACACATAGGGTTTTCAACAGTTGATTGATTTTTCAGAAGTAGATTGCAGGTCTTTCTTCTGAGGCTCCACGGGCTGGACTTGAACCTCCAACCTTACTGTTAGCAGTCAAGCTTTAAATATTTGCTCCTCCCAGGACTACTGAATCACTACAGGACACTAGTTTTCTTCTTGGTAAAACGGAGATGAAAATAGTTTAACTTAAAGGTGTTAATGCTTATAAATGAGCTCTGGTAGCTTAGCAGTTTGAAACTACCAGCTGTTCTACAGGAGAAAGATGAGTCTTTCTGCTCCAGTAAAGATATACAGCCTTGGAAACCCTATGCAGGATCGCTGTGAGTCAGAAACGACTCCACGGCACGTAACCACCACCACCATATGTTGTTGTTGTTATGTGCCGTCGAGTCGGTTCCGACCCATAGGGACCCTGTACAGGGTTTCCGAGGGTGTAAATCTTTACTGGAGTAGAAAGCCTCATAAGCCTCATCTTTCTCCCGCGGAGCGGCTGGTAGTTTCGAACCGCTGACCTTAAGGTTCGCAGCCCGATTCGTAACCACTACGTTACCAGAGCTCATATAGTTAGCCATTAATACAACGCTCTGGTAGCGTAGTGGTTACGAATCGGGCTGCGAACCTTAAGGTCAGCGGTTCGAAACTACCAGCCGCTCCGCGGGAGAAAGATGAGGCTTTCTACTCCCGTAAAGATTTACACCCTCGGAAACCCTGTACAGGGTCGCTATGGGTCGGACCCGACTCGATGGCACTTAACAACAACAACAACTCCGGGCACACATGCGTCAGTTATTTGGGTGATCTGTTACATACGATTTACAGACCTTTGTAATCTTTTTAGTAGTTGTAAACTTTTCGGGTATCCAAGTTAGTATTTACGCTAATTTTTTTAGAGCATTATCCAGGAAGTGGGGTCTATGGTTCTTTAACATCTTAAATTTGTAGGTGGCTAGTGTTTTTCCCAATTGGAAAATCTGCTCAGAGGCAGAGCAAGAGTCTGTCTTCAGACTGAACAGGAAACCTTTCTCATGCTTAATTTCTGAGTAAGTGTCTGAATGTTTCCTACACAAAACACGTCCCAAAACTAGTTTCTACTTTTAGCTCAACGGCAGCAATTTTCCTTAAATATCATTATGGATTTGGACCCACCCACAAGCCTCAACCAATTGGTCCAAAAGCTCCCGGGGTTAGTTCAATCCTTGGGATTTATCCTTGTTGATTGGCGGAGCAAATCGGAAATTCTTTACTTTTCTGATTGGTCGCGCTTGGTCTTAAGGCGGGGCATGTAGGTGTGGCTCGCCGAAACGCAGTGAGCTGTCATTGGAAGATGGATCCGGCATTTCCAGAGCTTCGTGCCGTCGCCTAGGTCGCGAGGGGCGGGTCTTTTTTCTCCCATACCCTTATTGCTCTTACCATTGGACAGAAAGTGTCGTCACTCAGGAAATGTGACGCTCATTGGAACGAAAGCTTTACAGGGCTGTGGGTGATTGGTTAGTTGCTGTTCCTGCCTCCATGCCTGTCGCCATTTTGCTGAGAGGAGCCGGAATCCTAGAGGCCGCGGTGTAGGTATCCTTAGAACCGGGACAGGTGAGCTGCAGGCTGAAGGGAAGGGGCGGTGGTGCTTAGAACTTGGCTGGATATCTTCGGAAAGGGCTTGGACCCCGCTGTCCCTTCTCTGAGAGGTACCGAAAGAGGCTCGGCGGGTTCCGTGAGGCCTTGCCGCTTACCCCATTCCCCGGCAGGAAGGGCGTTCGGAGACCCTCCCCGGGGACTCCGATGTGCGTGTCCGCTGCGGACCCTCGCCATGGCTACCTGCCCGCGTTCGTGCCCTTGAGTTCTTGCCGTGGTTTCTCCTTGATGGCTGTTTGGTGCTTGTGTGCGGAGAGGGCCCGGCGGTCCACACCGGCGGCTCGGAGGGGCCGGAGACCACGGCGCTTCCGCCAGGGGAGCGGGCTGTAGCTGAGGGAGAGACTTGAAAGGACAGAGGGGCGTGCTAAGTGCGGCTGGAGGGGTGGGCAATCGGGCGAAGCATTTGCCTCAGTTGACATCTAAGGGATAGATAGCTTCCCTCCCCCAGCATATTCCTTCCTTTACCTCTTGAGATTTGTCTTCTTGGATACAAAGAACCTCTAGTGTGTCTCTCCTCTAGGCTTTTGAGTGTTGCCATGCATGGCCTTCGACATGGATGATGAAAGCATTGATCAGCCCCTCAGTTCTGAACGGTCTAGGTGCTGCCCTAGGGAGGGGAATGGAATGTGCTTGGACGTCATCCTTGATGTCAGGCCGCTGTGGGAGACCTGGCTTCAGAAGTGGGGCTCTGGCATTTGATGATCTCCTTTTGGAGGTCACCAGGATTAGGGCGAAGTGAGAACGTGCCATCTTCCTCCTGCCCTGCTCTGGAGGGAAGTGTTCCTTGGTCTGCAATTTCAAAAGAAAACCGTGGCCTTTGGAACAAGGGTGTATATTTTGAGGCCTCTGTGTCTAGTTTTTTCCAAGAGTCTGGTTAGAGATGTAGGCATAGTACTACTTTTAATTAGCACTGCAAACTCAAGCTTCAAATAGTATAACCTGTTAGTAAATTTCTACAAAGCTAGTAGACTCTACACTGCTTTCTTGTGTATATCGCAGCATGCATTTTACAGAAAACAAACTATTGAACATTTATACTGTTGTTAAGTGTCGTGTGACCCTGTATAGGGTTTCTGAAGAGTGACTGGTGGGTTTGAACCGCCGACCTTATAGTCCAGTGTCTGACCCTACTAAAAACTGTCCGATGTCAATGTAGGGCTTACCCTTTGGGAGAAATAGTGATTGGGTGGGGAGTTGCGGGGCATAGGAGATGTTCTGAGTTGTTAGTAATCATTTATTTTCTTAATCTGGTTACCTAATTGGTTGATGAAAATTCATCAAACTTTACAGTTACCAAGTATATTTGTATCTATATGTAAATTGTGCTTCAGTAAGAAGTTGAAAAAGCTGACTACAAATAAGGTAGTGGTCCATCTAATAGAATATTGGATATTGTGGCCTCTTCTCAACTCTGGCAGTTAAGTCTTTTTTATTTCTCTCTTAGCAGTACAGTCTCCTAATGCTTTATCACCTCACCTCTGAAACCTTTTAGGTTCTTTTCTGGGTGTTGATATTATTGGCTAGCCAAAGGCATCTACTAAATTTCTCAGGGATGTTGTTCCTGAACTTGCCTTAATGACTTTGCTTCCCAGTGTGTAAAATTAAATGATTCTCTGCTTCCTAAATTCTTACTTGAGGAGTGTTCAGAAGGAGGTGCTGACGTATTTGTTGTGGCATCACTTCTGTGCTTAGGATGACTAAACCCAGCTTCCATCGTGGTAGTGAGGTTTGAGCACTGAGACTCTGCTTCCACATGTCCCATTGGGATACTGCAGTGGAAAAAGAATTCTCTGGAAGACATCAAAAGACTTAGTTGACTTTGCCTCCGAATGCCAGCATCACTACTCTTTATTGGCCAAATTGTACGTAAACTTTTTCACAGGAGCAACCTCTAATGGTGGTCGTGGTGGTGATGGTGTACTGTAGAGTCAGTTCCAACACATCGTGGCCCTGTATAGGGTTTCTGAGGCTGTAAATCTTCACAGGAGCAAAAAGCCTCGTCTTTCTCCCTCAGAGGGACTGGTAGGTTGGGACTGCTGACTTTGTGGTTAGCAGCCCAACTCGTAACCCACTACGCTACCGGGACTGCTCTCACTTCTCCTAGAGACTTGTAGTTTATGTACATATTACTTGGTGTACCTTTTCTTTCATTTAGGTAACAGAAATCAGTTACAATGGGAAACGTCTTTGAAAAGTTGTTCAAAAGTCTATTTGGGAAAAAAGAGATGCGAATTCTGATGGTGGGCTTGGATGCAGCTGGAAAGACTACCATCCTGTATAAACTGAAGCTGGGAGAGATTGTGACCACCATCCCCACAATAGGTAGGAAATGACCTGTGGCTAGGCCAGTTTACCACTCGGTGTGTTACACTCTTACATGTTTCTTATAGTATTGGATATTCCCTTTTCAAAGTCCTGTCTACCCTTAGGGCATAAATTTCAAGGGGACAGAAACCAGGTTATATATACTTTCCTGACTGTCCTCAGCATCTGTAGCACAATTCTAGGTATCAAGGGGACTCGTGGGAACATATTTAGGTGAAGCAAATTTAACAACATCTGCCTGGCAAAAAAAAAAAATAATAATGATAGAAAGTTGGTCATTTTCACTACAATGAAATTTGTTTTGAAAATTCAAAAGCCAGAACTATGGGGACATGTATGTCCTCCATTCCTCTGGCAGTCCACGATCCACCGGGAGCCTGAGCTGGGAATCTGCAGTCACCTCATTTAGTCTCTGCTCCAGTTGACCTCTCTTCATGGAAGCGTCTTTCCATACCGCATGTGAGTCCAGGATAGTTTTTTCCCCCATTCACTCTGGCTCAAGCCAATCACTTGATCTGGCATCCAACAGAGGAGACTGACTTGTTTCAGGGCAGGAGGAAAATCTGGTTGCGTTAGTCTTATGCAGACTGTTACTGGGTTTTGTGGGCTATGTAGGGGATTTGCAAAGGCAGTTTTGACAGAACTTATTTAGCCTTTTTTTAAGTCCTCTTTGCTTTCTGTAAGGAAGGTTGTATCATTTGCATAATTGCTGAAAGTGAAGAGGACTTGAAATACTTAACTGTTGAAGATGAAAGACCACAGCCTTCGGTATGGGTTGCATCTCGATGTAAAGAAAGCAGAAATCGTCACCACTGGACCAATAAATAACATGAAGAATAATAGAGAAAAGATTGAAGTTGTCAAAGATCTGTTTGCTTGGATCCATTGTGAATACTCATGGAAGCAGCAGTCAAGAAATCAAACAACGTATTGCATCGGGAAGCCTGCATAGGACCTCTTTAAAGTGTTTAAGAGCAAAGGTGTCAGTTTGAGGACTAAGTTGTGCCTAACCCAAGCCATGGTATTTTCAGTAACCTTATATGCCTATGAAAGTTGGACAGTGAATAAAGAAGATCACAGAAGAATTGATGCAGTTGAGTCATGGTGTTGGAGGAGAATATTAAAAGTTCCTTGGGCCACCAAAAGAACAAACCAATCCAAGAAGAAGTGCATCCAGAATGCTCCCTAGAAGCCAGGATGGCCAGACTTAATCTCTCATACTTCAGACATATCAGGAGGGACCAGTTGCTGGAGAAGAACATCATGCTTGGTAAAGTGGGGGATCAGTGAAAAAGAGGCAGACCACCAAGGAGATGGACTGACACAATGATGGCAACAAAGGGCTCAGTTGTAGCAACAATTGTGAGGTTGGCACAGGACCGGGCAGCGTTTCGTTCTGTTTGTGTGGAATCGCTGTGAGTTGGTACACACTTGATAGATCCTAACAACAATAACAACTTTTGTCTTATGAACTACTTCTAGAGCCGAGTTTCTGAGTGAAGACAGATGATGACAAGTGAGCATCAATAGTTTTGTTGGTGTTGCCTTAAAACCGAGGAACCAGAAGCTCAAAGCCCTTAGGCTGCCTTTCAGCTTCTAATGTGCTTAATAGATTCAGGGATTGTAACATTTGAAAAAGGAAGAAACCAGATGGAGAATGTTAAATGCCTACATTTTAAAAAAAATCATTAATTCAACATGAAAATGGCAAGATTATTTGGTCTTCTACAATTATAAAAATAATACATGCTTCTATAATTTCATTCATACAGACAAAAATTAAGAAATGAAAAATAACACATAACTAAGATTTTGGGGAATATCTTTCTCAAATTATGTGCATGCTGTTTGCCAACTGACTTTGCATTAGACAATATGTCTCATTAGACAATATAACTCTGTCTCATTTCCTCTCTGGAATGTTTTCCTGCCTTCTTCCTTGGGCCCCTCCCTGCTTTAGCTAATGCCAACTCATTCTTTTCATTTCCGTTTACAAAAATGGTAAACCGTTCTGACCTCTTGGACTGGTTTGTCCCAGTTACAATTTCCCAGAGCAACCTGAACATCTTGTTAACTCTCAGCACGTTTGTAATACTTGATCCTCGTCTCTCTTCCTCACAACAGTGCAAATAAGAACAGGAATCATGGCTGTCTTGTTGACTATCTCCAGGGACTAGCAAAATGTTTGGCACGTGGTACATGGAGTGCTGCTGGCACTGTAGGCTAAGCACTGGACTGCCACCCACAAGGCTAGCACTTCAAACACACCTGCTGCTCTGTGGGGGAAAGATGAGGCTTTCTACTACTGTAAAGACTTACAGCCTCACAAGCTCCATATAGGGTCACTATCAATCAGTACTGACTCAGTAGCACCTAACAACAACAACAATGACAACATGGTACATATGTCCAATATATATTTGATGAATGAATTGAATATAGAATTTTGTGACAGATTTTTAAAACTAATGGTCCTGAATAAATTGTATCCCCAGTATGTGTTCCCTTGTGCAAACTTCTCCCATAGTGACGATGTGCTAGACCTTATGAATTGCATTGGCCATTAGGACATGTGCAAATGTCATTCTAGCAAAGACTTGGCAATCCCTTTTGCCTTGGAGTTTGTCCTTTGGGACCACTGCCTCTACCATATGACACGCTCTTGGAGACGAAAGCCCACCTGGAGAAAGAGCCCCGGCTCCGATTGTATTTGACTCACTGAGTGCAGCCGTATGAGCAAGCCAGGGCCGTCACAGCATCGTGCAGGAGAGGTGAAAGTAGCCACACTTCTTGGAGAAGTTCGACTTTAAGTGGAAGGATGAAAATAAGCACAGATTTCATCTCCAGAATGTGAAGATTAATCAGATCTACACTTTTCTACTTCTTAGTCCTTATCCAGCACCAGACAGCCAAGGTGCTCCTTCCATCATCCTTAGAGGCAAGGAGAAAATAGGTGTCTGCAGTGTGTGTTGGACGTAGAAGTTGGTCCTATCAGATGGCTTCAGTTTGCTTGGAAGTAAGCTGTAAGGTCTGATTCCTGAGAGTAAGGGAAGGGGAGGTGTGTGGCCATAGTACGTGGGTGAGCGCAGAGAAGAGTGAGACATTGGTGAATGGGGGAGCAAGCTGACGAACACACTGAATTTTGTAAGATACAAATCTTAGACTAGCAAGCTCTTTTATGATGAAGCCAACTGCTGTCGAGTCGGTTCTGACTCAGAGCTACTTTACAAGACAGAGTAGAACTGCTCTAAAGGGTCTTTAAGACGGAATGTTTTGGGGAACAGACAGCCTTGTCTTTCTGTTGAGTGGTTGGCTGTGGTAGGTAGTTAGTTAGTAGTTCAGTGCATAACCCACTGTGCCACCACGGCTCCTTTGTAAATGAAAAGTACTAGCCAGTGTTAGTTGGTAATTATTTTGAATTGCTCAACCAAAGAATTCTTATTTAAACATTTCCCCCTTCTTCCCACTTTAGGTTTCAATGTGGAGACAGTAGAATACAAAAACATCAGCTTCACGGTCTGGGATGTTGGCGGCCAGGACAAAATCAGACCTTTGTGGCGACATTATTTCCAGAACACCCAAGGTAACAATGTGAAACGCTTCATTCTGTGGCTGGAAGGCAGTAGGCACGCAGACGGGCGCCGAGATTGTTGGAGATTTGACCTTGCCCTGTGGCAGGATTCCTGCTTACCCTAGTCAGAATTGCCATATTCAATTACCAAGTTGAAATGCCTTTTTCTCTTCAATTTTCTTTTCATAATGAGCCTAAGTTTTACTGCATCTCAATAACTGCTCTTTTGGCAGCGGGGAGCTGGCTGTACTTTTGGACATCCAGATAGGTAAATTAGACTCTGAAATTAAGTCAAAGGGAGCGATTTGAAGGATGGATATGTTGCCTGTGGCAGGTCTAGACATCTCCATGAACAATTTTGATGCTGCCTTAATTTTTTGGCCAATTTCCCAAAGGTCAAGACTGTCTGTTTACACTTTTAATTGTCTGCAGGTTGAATGTCACAGAAATTGGTAATAGCTTTTGACTTGCTATTAAGACATTTAGCTTTGTGTAGATTTTACTTGTGTAGATTAGAATTTGAACTATTGGTATAATTTCTTATTTATGAAAAATCAGATGTATAAAATGGTCCATTTGTTTCCATGTGGAGTTTTCTCCTTGATTGTAGGTTCTGTTATATTAGGCAGTGTATCCATTTGTCCTCTGGACAACCACTTGTCTTTTTGGTATATCTGTCTAGAAAGAAGTTTATGTATATAAAACAGTTGTGAATATCATTCTGTCTTCCCTCTTCCCCTGTAAAAACTAATGTGTGTCAATCTTTAGTCTCCTAGAATCTGAGGTTCTCCCAGCCATTAAACTAGAAACTGTTCTCCTAGTTCAAATGTGTAGTCAGTTCGATGGTCGGTTGTTTGGGGATTTGAGGTCAGGACCTGTATAGAAGTAGAGGACCTAATCTACAAGCCTGTATTTTTATTAGGAAGGGTGAAGGGATAATACTAGGGGATTCACAAAGTTCATAGAAAAATGGTGCGAAAAAATATGGGGATTTTCCCACAAACATTTTGAAGCTCCCTCATATGTCAGCATGAATTGGTGAGTTTTCTCCTGGAAACCAAGCATCTCTGTGGATTTTTGGGTGACCTTCCTAGCTTAGCTGTATTCAAAATCCAGAACTTCTGCCAGTATTCCAAATGTTGGGCGCGGGTGGGGTGGGGTGGGAGGTGTTGCTTGTATATTTTTCATTTTTCTATCCTATTGATGTAACAGATGTGGGTTTGACTTACTTGTAAGCCCCAAACATGCAGAAGCCGTGGGAGCTCCTGTCTGGGGACTGGGCAGCTCCTGATCCAGCTACCTATAGGCCTGAGAAAGGGCGGGAAAAGGCAGAGGGCCAACACTGCTTTCCTCCCTAACAGTAGTCGTGAAATCTTACTTTCAAAGAGAACTGAGGTCTTCTCATCCCGTTGTGCTTTCTACCAGGGTCTCTGCTGCTGTGTCTCCACTAGTTGCGGCTTAACCTTAACAAGATGTGACTATTTCCAGTCACAAGAAATGCCGTCTTCAGAACTCACTGCGTCTTCTGCACCTTCAGTTCTATTATGTTGACTTCCTATCGTTTTTGCCCACTGATCTTCAATCTGCCTTATACAGTGATTCAAAACAAGTTGAGGTGCCTAGTTTGTCATATAATTAAAAATAGCTGAGGGTCCCACTAGTCCTTTTCTAGGCAAAAGATCCGTCAGTCTTCACAGGGTGTGGTGTCTAACTCTTTTGCCATCCTGGTTGTTTTTTGAACCCCTCATTGGTCTGTGTCTAGAGCTGACCAGGTAGCATTCCTAGGAAGTTTTGACTGATGGAGACTAGAGTAGGTGTGTTAGCTTCTGTAGCCTGGAAACAGAGCTGCTGTCACTCCTCTTGGTGCAGATCCAAGCAGGTATGGATATGTATGTCCTTTCTCCCCTTTTAAAACTGGTCACCTTTCATTCCTGTGTACATTTACAGGTAATTGTCCTTAAAGAAGCTTCAGACTAGAAACAGTTCTCTTAATTCAGGGTAGTCAGTACGGTGGTAGTCAGGTTCAGGTGAAGTCTTGGGGCAGCCAGATCCATTTTGTCTCTCAGAGGACTGTTGGTAGCTAAGTTGTTTTTGTCGTTGTTGTCACAGGGACAGTTGCTAGGTGAGCCTTCCCCATCCTGCACTTGGATAGTGTGTTGGGCACCTGTTGGGCCCCCGCTGGAAATCCTGTGACCTCTCCTCCTCTCCTTCAGCCCATGTGGCAGTGACGAGGGCTATGAAGGTTTCAGCAGCTTGCACTCAGGTGCCGCCTTTGGCCTGCCCAGCTAGCTCTCGCTCTTGGCATTTCTCAGGTGCTGTAGCTTGGGCGGTCCCTCTGTGAGCTTCAGTGGGTATGGTGGGGTGTAGAGAAAATGTGTCACGTGCTGAGCGTGGTACCTGACACATTGTTGGTGCCTCAGTGGGAACTCTTCCTACTCTGGAACTAGACCTAGCCTCCAGAAGCAGACCCGGGACCCATCCTTGACTGCTAACTTTTGAGGTTTGCTGTGGGGCGAGTCTTGTTCAGTCATGTCAGCACACATAGGGACAAAGTCACAGCTTAGAGATGGTGAAAATGAAACTTGGCTTACTATGCTTTGTCTTAAAGTAGAGTGGTGGTGAATTAGTGCAAAGCAACAAACTGAAATGGAATCAAATTCTGAACGTTGAAGAAACTGTTCAGGGATTTTGGCTGCTGTGTCTAGCTACCTCTCTGAATGCGATTTAGTATACTAAAATTTGTTGGTTTTTTTTTTTTTCAAAATCTCCTTTTTGTCTCTGGTGTGGACATTGTTGTTAAGTGCTGCTGAGTCAATTCTGACTCATCTCGACCCTGTATAGGGTTTCCGAAGAGTGTCTGGTGAGTTTGAACTGCTGACCTTATGTTCCAGAGCTTATCTTACATCGCCGGTGTGGACATGAGTTGATTAAAAATGAGCCTAACTTTTCTCTGTATGTGTGGTACTGTTAGTCTGATGAACGGGGTAATTGCTTTGAGAAAGGTGAGTGGAGTGTACAACAGGCTCCTCCCTTCCGTATTGATTGCCTCCAGTGAAACCAAGCATGTACGCTGGGGCGGGGTGGGGCTGTAGGGACTGACCTGCAGGTTCAGTTTACCCACATGCGTGTGATTGTTTTCCAGGTCTGATTTTTGTGGTCGACAGTAATGACAGAGAGCGGGTCAATGAGGCCCGGGAAGAGCTAACCAGAATGTTAGCAGAAGATGAGCTCAGAGATGCAGTTTTATTGGTGTTTGTAAATAAGCAGGTACGTTGTTGGCTTTCGGAATACTGGGGCTGAAATTTACCCCCAGGTGCCGCACTTGAAAATACAGCTCTTTATCGTCTCCCTTCCTCTCCCAGCTTCTACCGTAACCTCCCTCGACCTCCTTTTCAGTGTGTTTAATATTCACTCATTCAGTAAATACTAATTGAGCTTCTCCAAAGTTTCAGGCATTGTTTTAGGTACAGAAAGTCCCTGGTTTATGAATAAGATCTGTTCCTACCTGTGTCTTTATGTTTTTAAGTGGAATTTGCAAGTGGGTCAGGACAGGTGTATATGATTCTTGCTTAATCTTACTTTAGTGAAAGAAAAGGCTCGAAGCCTCTTAATGATTGAAAATCATTAAATGATTCAGAAGCTTGCTGTGCAGCAAGTGAAGATGATTGGGTTAGCCCAGTGGTGTCAAAGTGAGGACAAATTTACCTAACATTAAAGGGCAAGTCGGAGTTGAGTTTTCCCTAAGTCAGATGCTGCGTAACCCGGAAACAGTCTATATTGGCAATACAGCAGTGGGCAAGACAGACAAAAGTCCCTGTGTCCATGGACTTACATTCTAATGGGAGGAGTGCCCATCAATATGTAATCTACACTGTGTCAAATGGTAAGTGTTATGGAGAAAGCATAGTAAGGGGGCAGGATGGGTCTGGGGAGTCCCTGGCATGCTTCTCAGATGCAGTGGCATCTGAAGACCTGAAGGCAGTGAGGGAGGGAGCCACATGGTTCTAGAAACAGCAGCTGCAGCGGGAACAGGGATTGCTCGTCTAGGGCCTGCTGAAGAGAGAAGAGGCTCTCTGCATGAGTAGAATGCGGAGGAGAGCCGAGCATGGGACTGTCCGCTGAATGTGCCGCTGTCTGGCCGTAGGACTCCCAGCTGCACTAAGCGCAGGAAAGTAGTCACTTGGACTACTGCAGGCTGAGACCACCCTTCTGCATTGCGGTGTGTTTCCTTCCACAGCCTCCGTGGTCACGTTTGTTATGTAGTTGACATACTGTTCAGAGCATGTGGCAGCCTCCTTTGTCACTTCAGATGCTTCAAAAGTTTTCGCTTGTCATGATTTTGACTGGCAGATGGATCGTCATTCACTCAACCATTTCCTTACTGTTCATGTTAGACGTCAGTCTGGCGTTTCACTAGTGAGCATAGGGGACTTTGAAAAATAATCAAATTTGTATTTAGATGCACATAGTTTAGAATACCAGGGGCAAAATTTAGCTCTACTCCTCAGGCTAAAACATGTATCTTTTATCTTGTTCCAGAAATATAAATTTCTCTGCTTTTGTTAGCATATCCAAGATTAGTGTACATATTTAGATTCTGAGGATCATGTTGTGCGTTCTGTTTTGCATTCTGCTTTTGCACTTAGCATCTCTTTGGCCTTCCAGATCAGTACATCCTATTGTTCTTTAATTCAAATTCAATCAGATTTGAGTTTACCTGGTACCAGGCATGGTTCTAAGCACTTGGGATAGGTTGGAGAACAAGATACATATTCTAGTTGGGGGTGACCGATAATAAATTGTAAACACTCAATAAGAATATTGTAGAATATAGTGAAATGTGGTTGAACAGGGCAGTTAGGAGGGCTCTGGGTGTGACATTCTTGTAGGTCATCGGAAGGGCGTCTGGCTCTTACCCTGGGGGAGAGGGAGTGGCTTCAGGGTTGGGAAGAGGTTTTAGAGGAGCGGCAGCAGAGCCGTGAGATCAGTTAGGACCTGATGGCAAGTGAGGTGCTACCATGGCCCCATCAGGGTGGTGGCTGTGGAGGTGGTAAGAAGTGGGCAGACTCTGAAATAGGAATTTTTTTTTTTTTTTTTAACAAAACCAAACCAATATTTTTAAATGTTCAAAGGGCCCATTGTGCAAGCAAGCCTCCTGCCCACAGGCACACAGCTTTACTCAGTCCATGGGCCTTTGCTCTGTGCCCTTGTCTCTGCTGATTTCACTTTTCTAGGTAGGGATCTTATGCTCCACTCGTGCTCTTCCTTCTTGATGGTCTTGGGTTTGTCTATTTCTGAAGTGAAAGATTAACTACTCCCCCCTTTTACTTACACGTCTTCTATAATTACAATTATGACAATCACAATTAATCCTGCTAACAACTACTCACAATTGAATCATAAAATTCTCTCAGAATTATCCCCCACCACCTTTCACCATACCCATCTGGGAAAGAAGAAAGCTATTTTGTGGGGATTCTACTTTACCCCCCTTATTTTGAAACTAAGCACACTCATGAAAGCTTGTAAGCCAGTCACTTCATTCCTTTATAGCAACCCTTTTTGATAGCCAATGTCTGAATTGCTCACAGGGCTGCTATGAGTCGGAAATGACTTCATTGGCACTTAACAACACCAACCCAGTCTACTGAGGAGACAAGCATGTTCCTGATCTGAAGAACCTCCAATTCAGTTAGAACTTTGAGCAACTGCATCCATAAATAAAAGTCCAATTCATCTAATTGCAGCAATTTACACTTGCTCACAGCATCAAACATCTTTATCTTCATCTGGTTGGGTTTGGTCAGCTCAGCCCTAGCCATCCAAACTAGGTTAAATGGGTACCAGCTGCAAGTTTGGGAGTTCACACACACCTCCCGGCACTTCAGAACAGCTGGCCCCTTCACTCTCGGCCCTAACCCCCAGGGTTTGGGTCAGTACCCATGGGCTCAGGAGTTCACACAATTCCTCATCTTTAGACCAGCCAGCCCTTCTGTCTCATCTCAAGGTCAGCATGCCAGTGGAACATGTTCATACTCAGCCCGTGTCTTCATTGCAGCATTTCCCCCACTCCACTTATAAGTAGACCTGGATGGTCACTAGTGAGCATACTAGACCACTGGCGGGCTCTCTTCAACTTTCAGTCATAGGAGGGGGTGTTTCCTGATGAGCTGACGTCTGAATACATTTCAAGGTGTTCCTTACAGACTGACAGTGGGGTTTGAGAAAGAGAAATTCAGATGGAAGGGTAGAGTTGCTATCCGCTGAGATGGGGAAGACTCTGTGCTGTTTATTGATTGTATTTCATTATATGAATGTAATGTCATGAACTGACTTTCCAATATTCTCTCTCAAGGACCTTCCCAATGCCATGAATGCAGCTGAGATAACGGACAAGCTTGGCTTACATTCCCTCCGCCAGAGAAACTGGTATATTCAGGCTACCTGTGCCACAAGCGGAGATGGGCTGTATGAAGGCCTGGACTGGCTCTCCAACCAGCTCAAAAACCAGAAGTGATCATTTGGCCGTGATCCATTCCCCGTGCATTGTGGCAAAATCTGCTGGCCTCTTCTGTGTGCGTGTGTGCGTGTGAGGAGCCAAGTGTGGGTGTGTGGCTGAGACTGGGAGCGGCTTTCTCACACCGTGCCTTATACATGCTGTAAGAAAACCAGTATTATATTTGAAGCAAAACCAGTGTTCTATTTTACACGCTACCTTCCATTTCAATCGCTTTGATGATCATTTCGCAGTTGTTGGAGGAGTTCAGAGTGGAAGGCTTGTGGGCAAGCCCTGTGTCTTCCATCTCTGCCAGCCAGAGGTCTTTGGTGAAAGGGAGGAATTCTTTCTTTCTTCCCATTGTTTCCAGAATGGCAGCTCTTTTCCAGGGCTTTATAGCCCATGAGCCTCCAGAAGGGAAAGGGCCTTGTTTGCTGCAGGTGTGAACTTTCCCCTCGGTTCTATTTTCACCCAGACTTCCTGGTTCAGCATGCTTTATTTAAAGGAATCAGCAATGGTTTTCATTATGTGGAGTGTCAAGACTCCATTAACACTAGAAAATTCTCCAGTTCTTTCCTCCCTTTACTCGTCTCTCTAGGGTGGAGACCATTTGGATAAGTGAGCAAGGGTGACGCTAAAGCTCTTTCCCGGAGCACCACAGTCGAGCGAAGGGACTTGTTAAGGACGTGAGGGGAGGGACGGGTCATGTGTGTGTCCTGGCGTCGCCATCTCAGGTCAGGTTCCTGAGGCTGCTGCTCCCACTTCTCCGCTCTGTGCTGAATGTGCTAAACTGGAAGCAGGAGGGCCCCTCCCAGGATGGAACCAGCACCCTGTATAGTGATCTTAGTCCAACTTAGAGTTTTGGTTAGCTTCTGTTTCCCAGAAACACACACCTGTGAGTTCTGAGGGTTTGTGCCAGAATCAGAGGTAGATGTGGGGAATGAGACTCTCTGTAGCCCCTGGTGTGGCCCCCAAGTTGGTGCTAAATTTTGTTATGAAAAATGCCTCTCAAGTCTAAACCAGTCTCCATGGCTCCCTCTTCGGGATGGCAATAACGTCTTTGAACTCACGGCACTTGTACTTTCTCATGTCCTCAGAGTGTTCGTAAGAATGAGCCGCGCTAGGGTCTAGAACGTTCCATAGCTAGCACTCTCTTACCCAGACAACTGGTGTCCAGATTTGTACCTAAGCGCTTCCACTATTTAATCTTGAATTCCTTTCTCAAAATATCTGTATCCAAACTTCAGAGGTGGGGGAATGTGGAGTGGTAAACCTTGCTTATTGATAACAAGAAAATTGACATACCTAGGGAAAAATTTCATACCATGATAAGTGGAATGTAATGTTTTTGTTCAAATATTTTCCTTTAAAGAATGTTCATTGCAATACTGGCAACTAAGTCCAGATGTGATTTGTTACCATGGAGTAATTCCTGAGAAATACTTAGATTGTACGCCTCAAATTGGCAGGGACTGTGTTGTGTACTGTTGTATCATACTTAGTACCATGTACCTCGTGCAGTGCTAGGCCTCATTAAAGACTTGGTGAGTGGTTGAACAATAAAGAACTTGCTTTGGAAGGAGGAGAGCCAGCCATTGCTTTTGAATGTCGCGAACTCTTTCTTTCCCCTGCATCTTAGCCAGCTGTCTATTGAAGGCTGCCGGGCACTTTGTACAGAAAACAGCCTCTGAGATTCAGTCTTGGCCTGACGCTTTCAGCAGTCCCTTCACTGGTACGTTTCATGGTGCTTTCACACCAGTCTGCCTCTCCCTAAGACTTGGCTCTTATGAGTTGGGGTTAAGTGGAGAACACTGGAATAGAGGAGTTTTGAGTGAAGGCTGGGGTCCCAGAAAGCCATATTTACATTCTGGCTGTGCCCCTCAGGCCAGTTACTCAGCCTCTGTGCCTCAGTTTACTTAGCTATTACGTGGACATCCTACAGCCTACCTCATTGTTGCGAAGAACAGTTGCCTGTCCATGGAATGTTTTGCTTTCGTGTTTCCCTGGGGAATGTCTAAGTGAAGAACAGTGCTGACCACAAACAAACTGGTTAGCATTAATTCTAGATAAAGTATGGGCTGCTTAATCTGCTCTCCACCTTCTAATCCCACCAAACAACCACTATACATGCTAATGTGTCCATTTGTGTGAATCCCGCTGGGATGTTCCTTTAAAAAGCAGTTTGGCCCTACCCTAACTTTTTCTAAATTCTTACTTAAGCTTTTCATACGAGTTGTACAGCCCTCACCATGACTGATCTGATTTTCAACAGTTTTCTCACCCCGGGAAGAAATTATGTCCTCATTAGCAGCCACCACTCCCCCACCGGCCCCCACTCCCCCACACCCCCACCCACCCCCACCCAGTCCCTGGCAGCTGCTAACCTCTTTTCCCTGGATTTACCTCTTTGTTGTTAAGTGCTGTGGAGTCTGTTCTGACTCAGTGACCCTGTATAGGGTTTCCACAGAGCACCCGGTGGGTGTGAACCGCTGACCTTGTGGATCAAACTGACTTTGTGGTCCAGCGCATTATCCTGCAGTGCCACACAGAATGACCTTAGGCACAACAAAACAAAACACTGCCCAGACCTGTACCATCCCCACTGTTGATAGGGTTGAACCCATTCCTGCCGCTGTATCTGTCTGCCTCTTTTTGTTGACCCAAGCTTGCAGTAAACTTCATGTTTCTTTACCACAGCCAAGATTCTGCTTCTAGGTCTGGTGGGTGTCGGTCTCCCAATTCTACAGCACCTGGCTATAGTTTCAAAGCCTCCTTTTCAATGTACAATCCCTGACATGGATAGAGTATCCAGTAAGCAAGCACAGTGAATACTTACTAATCAGTGAACAATTTCTTTGAAGTGAGAAACATGAAACTTCACTACAGATTAGTAAACTCACATAGGTTTTTTGGGTAACCCATTTCTGCCCATAACGTATCATGGCTCAGTATGTCATTCCTTTTATGCCTGAAGAATTTGTAACTTGTTAGGTGGTGTTGAGTCAGTTCCAACTCATAGCAACCCCATCCCAGAAGAAAGGACAGCTGGGTCCCGTGCCAACCTCACATTATTTCTAGGTTTGAGCCCAGTATTGTAGCCACTGTTGTCACCTCATTCTGGGACCTTCTCTTTCTCTCACCATGTCTTCTAGGAAGGAGAACATGTGCAGTGGTTCAAACCCACCAACCACTCCTCAGAAACTATATAGGGTCACTGTGAATCGGAGGCTACTTGATGGCACTTAACAATAACACTGCTTAGTGTAAGGATATGCCACATTTTGTTTCTCCATCATTACCTTTTCTGTGTGTGTGTCAATTGAGTGAAGGTTTGCCGAGCAGACGACCAGTTTTATATTTAACTAATTGTTATTATTATTAACTAATTATGATTTAACAAATCATACAGTTTTATATTTAACAAATCATTACAGTGATTACAATCCCCTCCATGTACCATCAGCTTGTGAACATTCGTGTACAAAATGGAAAATTCTCTTTGGGTATCTACTTAGGAGTGGGCTTGCTGGGTCTTATGGTAACTTGAACAGTTTAAGCAACTGCCTAACTTTTCCAAAATGGCTGCACCATTTTCCATTTTCCTCAGCGGTGTGTGAGGTTTCCAGTTTCTCCATATTCTTAACCTCGAAAAGAAACCTCTTATGTACTTATTAGTCATCCCACAATCCCACCCCTCCAGCCCCCTCTTATTTGCCTACCAAGAGCTTGAAGCTCTTGTTTGCCTACCACCTGGTCCTGAGGAACACTCCACTAAGAACATTCTATTTTGTTTTTTATTCTTAACTCTTTTACTCCAGTGGTTGCACAGGAAGGCTTCTTTCAGGATGTGGCTACACATTACCATCCACTGGACAGGTAGACTCCCAGATGTCCAAACTCCTTGCCAATTTGGCCAATACATTGTTTGCTATTGTGTATTGCCACTAGGTGGTGCTACCATACCATCTCAACCTATCTACTGGTGGTAGCTCAAAGAAATCCGCCACCAGCTCCTGTCCGCTCCTGCCAGTTGCTGTTCCGTGGTGTCATTGGTGGTATGATGCTGAAAGCCATACCACTGGTACTACAAATGCCAGCAGGGTCATCCATGGAAAGGTTCCAGAGAAGCTTCCAAGCTTATATAGACCTGGAAAGAAAGACCTGGTGATGTACTTACCAAAATTAGCTAAACCACCCCAAAACACTATTGATCACAGAATATACTTCAACATAGTGTTGGGAGATGAGCCCCATAAGAAGTTGAGTGCCGTTGAGTCACTTCTAATTCATAAAGACCCTGTATAGGGTTTGCAAGGAGTGACTGGTGGGTTTGAACCACTGACCTTGCAGTTAGCAGTTCAGCTTATCCTACAGCCTTGTTTGTTAAATGCCATCAAGTCAGTTCTGTGTAGGGTTTCCAAGGAGTGGCTGGTGGGTTTGAACTGCTGACCAGTGTCATACCAGGACTCCATTCGACAGCACTGTTGTTGTTTAGTGCCGTTGAGCCCACAACTCAATACCCAGTGTCTACAACAATAGACTTGAGCAGACCAAGGGTTGTGAAGCTGGCAGAGGACTAAGCAGTGTTTCTATCTGCTGTCCGTGGGATGGATGGCTGTGAGTCAGTGGGGACCCAGTGGCAGCCAACGACACTAATGGCTGGAGGAACCTCTTCTTTCCTTCCTCCTGTGTAGCCTAAGCTTCTGGCTGTGTTTTGACAGCCAAACTAAAGAAGTGTATAGAACTCGAGATGCCCTCAAAACTGCAGCTCTCCTTTTATTACAGGAGAGGAAGCCAGGGTTCCCTCGTCTCCATTTATGCAGCTGCTTTTAGGAACTAATGAATGACCAACATTTGTCTCTCTTTATCTAGGCTTTGGCCCAACCTGCTGACTTCAGTTTGGGTCTTGGTTTTTGTCATCAAATGCATACGTTCTCCAAGTTTGACTTTCTTCAGATTTGATGTCGTGACTCATAAATCATTATTTGTATCAATAATGTTGTTAAGTGCCATGGAGTCAG